GTAGCCCAGGCTGGCCTCGAACTCACAGAGATCCGCCTGGCTCTGCCTCCCGAGTGCTGGGATTAAAGGCGTGCGCCACCACCGCCCGGCAAATGGCCTTTTTAAAAACTTGTAGAATTTGTGGTTGCATAGAATTCCATTTTCGTAGCGGTGAATGATATTTTAGATGCAGCAGGGCTGCATTTAGGAACTTTTTAGAAATGTGAAATCTCAGACTCTGCCCTTAGGGTGGCCATATTTAGCAACTAAGAAAACAGGATGCTAGTTAAATTAGAATTTCAGATAAAGATTGAATAATTATTTAGTATAGCTATTCTCCCTGCAACATTTAGGGCATCCTTATAAAGAAAAATCAGTGTGCATCTGCAGTTCAGATTTAAATGGGCATGCAGGGTATTTTCCAGCAACCCCACCTCCCCCGGCCCCAGTGCATCCATCCATCCTGCAGTCCTACAGGAGGCTCAGGGATTCTTACACAGCTCCAGGTGCGGGAAACATTATGTGCTAGAGGCCTTCCCGTCAAAGCCCACAATGAATGCTTTTTGTGATGTCTGCATGGGTAAAGCAGAACATAGTATTTGTTAGGGGACTGATAATTCCCACATTACTCATTCACATACATCTGGATGTTCCTATATTGTGTTTTCATACTACAGAGAGCTGTAGTACTTTCTACCTGCCACCCGTGAGTCCAAAAGGCCCCCCACATTGCAAGAAAAATAACAATCTATAGAGAGATGGAAAATTAATTTATTCATGGTTTTGTCCAAAACTGAGGTGGGTGGGTGAGTCTCAGTCCACCTCCACCTGGCTCACATCAGAGTGGCAACATGCAGAGGAAAAAGCCAGGGACTATGCACACCAGCGTTTCTCTTGGCACCAGGCTTCTGGGGGTGGCCCATCTTCACTCCCCACGTGGAGTTTCCCAGAAGAATGCCAGTTCTTAGGCCCTTGTTATACCGCATTGTTGGCAGTGGAAGGGGAAGATTCTTGGCCTTAGGAAAAAGCCCTGGCAGCTCTGGAGGCCTCAGTTTCTCACCAGCACACGCATCTCTGCCAGTGCCCATGCCAAGTTACTCTCAGCCTCCACACTTGGGATGGTAACACCAACCTTTGTGTCCTCAACCCCGAGTCTGTGTCTGCGGTGACTGCAGAAGGTGTCACTCTTTACTGCCTTCTCGCCGGACAAGTTTCCTGACCTGACCTGTAGAGTTGGGTCTCGGGAACTGCCGAGTTCCACCTCTTCACTCCTCAGGCCAGGGGTTCTCGTACCCTGAAAGAGTGAATGTGTTTCCACCGACCCCCAGCTCCCTGGCACTGCCTTCACTTGTGATAGTTGTTCAACCCAAGGCCTGGGAAGATCGGGGAGCCTGGCCATGGACATGCCCCTAGTGCCTCTTGGCTGCTGAGCTTGGCTAAGTCACGTGCCCACCTGTCTGACCTGGTTCCCTAACTTGGCTCCCACTCCTCTGTGAAATGGGGATGCTGTCTTCTCCTCTCCTCCCAAGTCAGCTTCCCTACCTGTCTAGGGCCAGATCTCAAGATCAAGTGAAGGCCTAGTCTATCCATTTTACATCCTGGAGTGGAGTTCTTTCTGAGTTTGGTCAGATCTGAGAGCAGGGAGGTGACACTGTGGCTCCAGAGAAGATGCTTTCAGACTTAACGATTTTGAAAGTAGACAGAAATGACATTCCAAAGAATCTCAGACTTACCATGTCCACAATCACTCAGTGATTCGCCGAAAATGTAGGTGCTGTTTCCTTAGGGCTGGGGCCTGGAATCTGCATTCTTGATGCATCTCAGCTGATGCTGCTGGTCCAGGGGTCACACTGAACTAGAAGATTCTCAAGGAGGACTGAGTAGAGTGCTTACCTATCATGCATTAAGCCCTGAGGTAGATCCCCAGCATGCTAAAGAGGGTGCAGTGGTGCACACCTATATAAAGTGGGTGTGACATTGCACACCTGTATAAAGTGGGTGTGATGTTGTACACCTGTATAAAGTGGGTGTGGTGATGAACAACTGTATAAAGTGGGTGTGATGTTGCACACCTGTATAAAGTGGGTGTGATGTTGCACACCTGTATAAGGTGGGTGTGATGTTGCACACCTGTATAAGGTGG